AGTGAACGAGCACAATATATAGCCTTTTTTTCAATTCAAATTTTTGTAATATCAGAAATGTTTAGCCTACCTTTTCAAATGAATGATCGTTTCCACTAGCGTCAGATGCTTTTTATCATGACGAAAGACACACATTTTTCTCGACGTGTGAATTAGGCAGCAATAAGGGCGAGAAAATTCATTGGTGCGTCATTGTAAGGTGACGGACAGATGGACGTCCAAGAATAAAGGAGAAAGTTCAACAATAGAGAAATACAAACATCCTATTAAAAAGTTCGGCATATAAGTGTCGTAATCGGTCAATAAATATTTGAATGGATGCCTTACTGACATGTTTGACTGCTTGCATCGAAAAAGTAATTTTGAGAGAAAACAATTAAAATAGAAGAAGATTATATGAAAATAGGTTTTAAATTTCAAACTGGTGACAAATCGAATTTGAAAGATAAAAAAAGAAGATCATAATCATTTTAACAAATTCATTGAAAATATTTCATTATGTCTCTTTTTACCATGTTCGAAGACATCATTCGATCAATTTGGATATACATATACTCAAATACAAGTATTTCTTTCAGTTTCTTTTTTCCTTGACGACTCACCGTGTTACTCCGAGTCACTTTTATCATTCTGTTATTATAGATGTTTCCCTTGCGAAGGAAAATTCATAAATTTATTTTCTTCGTCATGTTGTTGCTTTCATTTTCTTTTCTTTAGTCTCTTAAATGAGTAAAAAAATGAATTTTTTGTTTTCACAGAGGTAGCGTTTATAATAAATTATAGAACGACATGGACCAACTGTAAAAATAATGTTGAAAGATAACAGTTTTGACTGAAATACAGAAGTTCAGTTTTTCCGAGTATCATTGAAAAAAAATGAACTTCTATATTTCAATCAAAAGTGCAATCTTGCAACATTATTTGTACAGTGGTTCAGATCAACACAGCAATAGAAAGGTGAAATAATAATAGATTATCATTGTCGTGGAAGTACATATAAAATAGTTATTGAATCGATGTGTCGTCTTTTTATAAGATGATGGAGAAAATCGCACAGTTTAATTACGATAACAACCAATCGGTTACGTAGACTTATAAATTCGACTTCTATTCTGGTTTCATGATCTGCATTCAAATAGTCATTCGTGCTATTTGAAACATGTCATTGTGGATATTCGATAAAAATTTTATATGTAATATAACCGTGGATAGATAAAATGAAAAATAATTTCCGTCGTTCTCATTAATTTATATTAGACTCACCCACTCTCGCCTTCATCTTACCCTTCAAATCTTTTTTGAAACAGATTGAGAATTAAGATAAAATCATTTCGAAGAAATAAAGAGAAGATTGTTGAAATAAGAATGCAGATCGTAAAATATGCGAAGAATTTAAATATGATCAATATAAGCAAATAATTCAAGTAAGATTTTATTTGGTAAAGATTCCAACTTGATCTTTTAAACTTGTAAATAAATTCGTACCTTCCATACTTTCAAGCATTTAACCTTTTAGCATACCTTTCAATTTCAGTTTTTATGCGCAAATGATTTACTGCCAATGAAAGAAAAAGAAAAAAAGTTTTGTCTTACAGTTGCAAATATTCTTCAATGAAAAAACTAAAATTTTTCTAAAGAATTTCTCTTGATTTAATTTCCTTGAAACTCTTGAGAATAATTATAAGAAGAAGTAATATTTACAAGATTTTTCAAACCTTACTCATGAACCATTCTTGATCGTAGACATTAATATCAAAATTCTTTCCAGCAAACACAATATATTTTTGAAACATAATTCCGAAATATTCTATTACACGAAACAAATCTAACGAATTTTATTTTCTACATAAGAAACAAATGAATACATCAAACGAAATATGTTATACCAAATATTAATCTAACATTTTAATACAAATTTCGTAGAGTGCCCTTTGATCAGTAAAAGCGTGAATAATAAGAGCGCGTACGGGTACATATGAAGAAGAAAGTGTCACGCATATGAAACAAGAAGAAATAATGGAAGCAAATTCAGTTAAATGGTAGATCAAGTATAGATTCTAAAAATGAAATAAAAACATAAAGAAAACTGTTCTTCTCATATTCACATAAAATATTCTTGTGTAAAAGCTTCAATCTGTTGCAAGGTACTGTTAACAATATTCTTCACAAGTCGTAAAGCAGTAAACAGTGTAACTCTTCTCTATATTTCAATCAAGATAGTTGAACTTAATTGTACAAGTAGTAACAGTGAAGAATGAAATGCTAATTAGAAGTAATTTTAAATCGACATATCTAAAATTGTTTCCCTGGTATACAAACACATACTACAGTCAGTTTTTTTAGATTAATATTTGCGACCATAGTGCGCACTAATTCAACAGCAATCACAAAGCATGTTAACACTATGATACTTATAATTATAAACTTAATGCTAGCCTTCTTTTGCCACCATTTGTATAAGGTTCTTCCTGAAAATTTTCAAATAACAATTATTCATTATGAGAGATTAGCTGAGGCATATTCAATTCTCATACTCACCTTTCACATAATAGTATTTTACACAACCAAGAAAAATAGAATCAGTAGCGAGCAAAAGCAGCAAGCTAATATTTGCGGTTATTACAATCACTATTAACGAACTAATGATGAGTATTACGATGCAAAGGATATATTGATATCGATAAAGAAAAACCTAAAATTACAAACTTATACTATTGATTTTTACTACACTTCATATTTACGTCACTCAATATGTTAGATAGATATTTCACGGTGAATTTTGATAGTTCACAACGGAGTATATATACAATGATAATGAGAAAAACCCATTCCAGGGTGGGTGTGGGTGGGGTGTGGGTGTGGGTGTGGGTGTTCCTGAAGTGTAGATGAACACCCACCCAGACCCCACACCCACACCATCAACGAGAACCTGTGTGTCCAGTGATCATTTACTATATACAATATCTGCGCGTGAAAAATCGTGTTCAGAATCATGTGACATCTATTGAACTGCAAAAATATTGCATGAATTCTTATTTCACAAACAGTAAGAGCGGAGAGAAAGAAAAAATAAATATTATAGTGTAGTGTACTATACTCAAAATGTTTTAGTGAAGAACTTCCATTTGTTATACCTTTAAAATCAACAAATTATCTTTGAATAGCTCAATTCTTAACTGAAACAAAGGGAAAGTTAGTTAGATCTATTAAATATGCAAGGGAAAAACCAATGTTTAAGCAACACTCATTTTGGATTAACACATTCTTCTAGTGACAGTATTTTGTTGATATGCAAAGCCGATGTTTCAGTCAGAGCGCCATTGCCTCATTGCGTTTCAGAATAAACTTATTTTCCGACCAAAAATTTAAAATTTGCCCACATAGTCACAGTCAAATAAAATTTAGTACATCAATATTAGTATTCATGTTTGTTATTTGTAGAATCACTTCTATAATTAATAGTTTTTTCATGCAGATGATATCTAAAAGAGTTATTCTTCATAAATGATTGATAGGAATCATAAACTAACTAGTAATTCCCTAAGTCTATAGAGTGTCTATAATTGTACCATTGTAGTTATCACAACGATCTTTATGGATAGCCGTACAGTTCGCTACTGTCTTAGTGATATACTATTTATCGGCTTAGTTTATTGGTAAAATATTTTTAAAATATAAAATCCAAATAACAAGTACACTATTTTGCGCGCCATGTGAATTCAGAGTTTTAATCTTTTTGTAATCAACTCTGGGAAATTTATTTTTCACTTTCTGAATGAGTTAGAAGACAATGGCATCCTGACTGTTTCTTTCCTGAAAACATTTTGAGAATCTTTTTGTGCTATCTGGAAATGAAATGTTAGAAAGTTCATTGTTGTTGTATCTTAGATACGACGCATATGCTCTCTCAACTATTGAGAGAGCGAGAGAGATATGTATGTATGCTTTGCTCAACAATCAGATGTGGAAAAGGGTTCATAGGTTCTCTAAAAGCAAGGTAAAAGTTTCCCCAATTGTATCTACAAAATGTTACAAACTGTTTTTTTTTATATAACTTCTTTTGCTTTTTGAATCAGTAATTCCTAAAAAGAGTCAACTGGTAATTTTTTCTTCAACTTTTTTTCATTGTATCTGTTTTAGCTGTGTATTCTTGTTTTCTCGTCTATTCCAAAATTTCCCCAACGTTCCACTTTTTGCCTGTGATCCTACTGTAATCTACGTACAGATTCTACAGATTTGTTGAATAATATTTTTTCTTTCTATTTTATACCAAATCGTTTCGGTCTTTTTAGATCATCATCTGTAATTGTTTTCTTTGGTCTTTCTTACGGATTGACTCTGATTATTTATGGAGTCTGAAGGTTAGTAGAAATTTCAACCGAGAAGACAAATACATTGCTGCCCGTTGTGAGATTTATTTTCTATTCTCTGGAGTTTCTTTTTATTCAGTTCAAAACCGAGACAAGAATGTCTTGAATTCTTTCTTTTGTGTAGAAAAGAAACTTTCTCAGTGATTTTTATGGAAGGAAACCATACTTTTGTTGTTTACATTTAAAATTACTACAAGTAAATTCATTTTATTCCGAAGGAGAATGGATAGTTTGAGCTCGTAAAGAGATTTTTCATGCGTTTAAAAATCGTTTGTAAAGTGTTCTCCTTTACAAAAACAATTGTTTCATTATTATTTACTGTGTCATCTAGCAGCAACTACATTACAAAATCAAGCTTCATCATCATGTCAGTTGAAATTGAGAAGATTACCAGGAGATCAATATAGTCTAATTACATATGGCCTACAAAAATTTGAATTTTTTTTCTCAAATGAATACTTGTACGTTCCTGCAATTAGTTTATTGATTGATGCATTTTATGATTGTCTACCGAAAAAACAACAACAAGCAAAACAATTAACTAATGACGATAAGAAGATATTCATACAAACAGTCATACAAAAATTATCAATTAAAATTCGAACAGCAACACGCAATCAAAAACATTTTATGGAATCAGATCCTTCATCTACTGGCGATTTAACACAAGAACACGAACAATTAATTTTTGTCAATAATCAAGTAAAAAGTTCATTTATTTATATACTTTGTAGATAACATTGAAAAGGTTATTAATCTACTTCATAGTGGTTAACTGCATGTGAAACATCGCCAACAGATCGAAAAGATCATCATTATTTTCTTGCATTTGTCAAATTTATTCACGAAATCGGGCATATGTTTGCTCCACTTATTATGAATCTATTGGGTTTAAAAAAAAAACAAAAAAACATGTGTAAGTGCAATAATAACAATGTTTCTTGATGAGTAAACAAAATTTTTGAAATATTCTTTTTTCTAGGTCAAAAAAAAAAAAGTTAAATTACAGTCGAAGAAACCTGCAAAAAAAATTTTCATTACTCCACAAAGAATTGGAACATATGAAAAACAAAAAAAAAAGAAAGGTGATGCTGGTCATCAACTTGAACAAATAATTTTTGGCGGGCGTGTAGTCTCAATGGTGTCAAGCAAAGATAAAAGAGCATCGTTTACAGTAAGTAAAACTGTTTTTTTTTAATTCAAATCTGGCTTTGTAGTTGTCCTCTTTTTCGCTCTTCTTAGCTCTAAAAATTTTCATTCTCCTCTCGACAATTGGTCTAGAAAACTTTATTTTATCTTAGAATTGAATATTTTTGAGTTTTTTAGTTGTTTCGTCTTAAATTGCTACTTCCATAAGGTGTTAGTAAAGCGAAGTGTTTAATAATTCATGACGAGTTTTGAAATGATCGTTAGGTTTACTTTATTGAAATATATCAAGAAAAGGAACTTTGTTGAAGAATTTGTCAAAAATTAAAATAGTCCTTATATGTAGGATATTTCCGGGTTCGTGCTAGAAGCTTGTTACTACAAGAGCTCAAATTTTGCTTTAGTCGTCTGAAAACTTGTAAAAATTGGCATGTTTTAGTTTCCGAAGTTTTCAGACATAGGAATACACTCAGGTAGTGTTGCAGTACCGTTTGAGACAGTTATCAAGATCAGTATCGAAAATTATCTACTGAAAAATCAGATATTTCTACGAATATTTTACGTGATCGGTAATGTTTTTGTAGCTTGAAATGAAAGGTTTGTCATGGGATATGTGCTAATAAAATAATCTCCCTTTTTTTAAGGGGAAATTCTCTCAAAAACTGACTTCTGACGGACACAACCAAATCCACTGAAACATTTAGGAATTGAAGATCTTTATTTGTTTGTTATTTTGTGAATTTTTTTACCAGTTCTGTTTCATCTTTTGGGAAATTCAGGTTCATTAAATTGCATGAATTGTCAGTATTTTTTTAAAAAACAACATCTCCAGAGTTTAGTTTTTTTTTTAAACAAGACATTTAAACTTTACAAAACAACCGAAGCCAATTTCTGGATTTGCCCTCCGTTCACTTTTGATAGACATTTTAAGTGGAAATTTCGAAAAGTCTTTGTTTACTGTTTAACCAACTGTATTGTTTTCTCTAACAAAACTAAAAATCAAAAATCGGTTCTAGTCATTTTGTTCATTTTAGTGTTGACTTTCGTTTGGAATAAAATTATATTTTGCACTGCATAGTTTCAAAGAAACCTGCTCCTGACTAAACGAGAGTAGTGACAAAATCGAAACAAACTAAAAAGGCATGTGCGTTTTAGTGTATCTTAGCTCGTTTAGAACAATACGTCTCTTTTCTATACAGCAAATTTATGTTGATAAAGAGAAAATTAGAAGAGATTTGGAGTCAAAACGTTTCAATGTAAAATATGTATGGTTTCTAGAGCTTTTAGGAAGCTTCCTCAAACGCCTTCGAAGATTAATCATTCAGTAATGAGTGATGTATAATCTGCAAGACATTTGTCTACTATCTGACGTATAAGAAAGAAAAATTACTTTTTGTTTTAATGAAAACAACTCTTTCTGAGGGTGTCCCTTAAGAGATTCTTCTGAAAGAAGGGAGCGTAGAAATGCGGCACAACCGAATCAATGTACACTGCCCGTTTCTTGGTTTCGGTCTGATTCTTTTTCATAAAGTTTTTAATTTTTTTAAAATTCTCATTCTCCACCAAGTGTTGCTGCAGAGCCAGAGATAATCTAGAATATTTCGTCGTAAATAAGCTGGTTTTCTCGTGCGCGCTAATATATTTTAGCATTAAGCGTTCCTACAATAATGACTACAGAAAAATTTTGCAAGACTGTGAAAAATGTAAATTTTGTATTTTCGTCCTCATACTCAAAAGTATCTTTTAAGAAAATTTGCCTAATTGTTGTTCAGATTTACTTTTGATTTACTTTTTTTTTTACTTTAGATTGATGCTTTGGTTGTATCTGATGATGTAAATTTAGGTTATTATCAAAATAAAATGAATGGTCTTTATTTAATTAATCATCAATGTCCTTCGCGATATACAAATGAATTTATTCAACGTAAGACTCCTTTCTTAAAGATTTATTCTATTAGTCGAAAGATTTTTTCGAGTCAAGTTCTAAGTGGAAAATGCAGATTCCACTTCTATGAACGTAAATTCTATGTAGTTCAATAAACTCTTTCTAGTTGAAGTTAAATCCTAGTACTATCATCATTTTAGCATCTTCTCTGAAGAAAATAGCCTGAGAATTTTCGAGTAATATAGGAAATTAAACGTTTCTTCTTGGATTATGTAAGGTAGTTAATTTAATTTTTTTGATTATTGTTTAGAATGTACAAATCTTGACGATTTAAAAATATTGAAAAGTGACCATTATGGACTTGCAACACTTACAAATTTGAATGCAATGAATAATATGATAAATCTGGATGAACAAGTCGAACATAATGAAGCTGATAACAATATCCGACCATATGAAAATTATCTTAATTGTTATGCTGATGCGGATGATAGTGAAAGTTCAACAACTAGCTCGAACTCATCAGATGAAGATGATGTAGACCTTTCAATTTGGAATGATAAAGATTCGAATATTGAATATTCATCGTCCGATGATGATGATGAGGAGGACAATAAATTGATTAATAAAGAGACAGAATAAGTGAGTTTGATTTGATTGGACTACTGCTACTGCTCGTTTGTTTTTCAACTGTTCGAATTTTCATTCATTTACTATTGTACAGTCAATACACACCTTTTCTTGGTTTTTCTTTCTCACATCTACTTGTCAACCACTAGATTTTTTTGCATCTAACATATTCTTTTTTTGTGCTATTTTTTGTATTACAAATGTCAGATTATCAATATCGTATCATACTTCAAAAAGGTCATTGCAAATAGTAATATACCTACTTTTTAAAAACAATTCTCTAAATAGGTACTTGGCGGTGCTCTCATCTCATTGCACCTTTCTCGAATTTCAGTTTTCTCAGCGGTAATGAAAAAAACTGCCATATTTACGCTCACAATAGGTCAACAACGAAGCTACGAAAAATTATTGGAAAAAACACGTTTTGGGTGTGGGTGTGGGTTTGAATAGAAGACTTCGACCCACACCCACCGGCAACCTCATTTATATTTTTCTTAAAAGCATAAATTTAAAAAAGTGGCGTATCCTTCTGTTTGTGAGTAATAAAGTTCCGTAATGTATTTATTTTTATTACATGGATCTAAAAGTTTCATTTCAAATCATTTTATTATAGAGCACAATAAAAGTATACCAATGAATCTATTTGAAAAAGCACTTGTGACATTCCGATAAAATGAAATAATTGGAAATAAAAGTTTCATACTCAAAGGATTTATTTGCTTGTCTAGGAAATAAATGATGAAGTAGGCAATAAATTTACTATTATCGACCGTCTGCTTATTCTCAAGTATTTTAGAATTAATGTAGTAGGAGACAAGTATTCGATCAAAATTAAATATTTTCAATATAAGGTCTGCAGATGACAATCTGTTATCATAGACGTACAGATTTATATGATTAATCTGTTAAATTCAATCCAATTTAATTATATTTTAATGATGATGATGCTATCGGAATGTTAAACGCCGGTCTGGTTCCGACATAAAGTCATGATTATTTTCACATTTTTTCAAAATAAAGTAAATGCGTTTTCAATAGGAACTAGTTTACACACGTTTTGGTTTTTGATTGCATTCAGAAGACTTAAAATGTTGCATTTTGGATGCGTTCAAACGCGTCAAGTTGCATAGCTCGTAGACATTTAGGGACACTTCAGGATTTTAAGCATGCTTACATGAACGATAAAAAGGATATCATTGGTCTATTTTAATTTCAATAAAAATAGATAGGTTTTCCTATAGTATCTACTAATCAGATCTTTGTTGTAAACTTAGATCAGTTTGTATGATTCTGAATCGCTGCAAACAGAAACAACGAAAAGAAGATGATCATTGTAGATAGATTGAAAATTTAAAGAAACATTTTTGAAAAAATATCCTGTTTAAAATATGTATCATAAAGAGCCATGGATAGAAATTTCCTTCGGCTTCTTATTCGTATTCAAATGAGTTAAGAGAAAGCTGATATGCTCATCTAAATGCATTAGAAAAGTCAACTTTTTTCTTTCAGCCACTACCTTCCAAATCTAACATAATTACACAATAGAATTTCTTCTAATCACAATACCATTGCAACGAAGATGTAGTATGCCAGACTAGCAGATGCATTTTCGCACAGACAGAACTTCCCTTTTAAAGTATTTTGTCCTCACTAACTAAACTATATAACTATACCTTCAACTGCATTTCACAAAGCAATGCATTCAAAAGTATTTTATCGGGTCTGCCAATTAGTTAGCATTAGTAGAAGAGACATAGCTTCTTTCCACTGTTAAACGTGATCAAAGGCATAGAATGATATGAGTACGTTCTAAAGCATTTCATAATACAAGGTTAAATCTATATGTATGCATTTAGTCTAAAAATATGCTTCGAAACTGAATTTTCTCTGACCGTGTTCGTGAAACACAATGATTCGTGCGTTTTGATGCGTTCTCGTCATGCTTCCATATAGAAACATGTTGGAACGTCGAAGACTTGCAACATAGGCACGTCTAGCTGCGTCTAAAATCCATTTCATGGTTGCATGAAATTATTAAATAAATTTTTTCCAACTGTTCATTAGCTTTTCTTCAATATTCATTTATTTATAATCAGCGAATAAAATTTTCCTGAACTTTTCATATCTACATATTTGTTAACATATATTTATACATATATTACATTTTTGTTCAAGAATCTCCGTTGATCATGTGGTAAACGATTTATAGATATCTATTAAATTGTTTTCGAAAGAAAAACAAGGAAAAAAAGGCTACGGTTTTGTTAAAAATTGTTTCAAACAAGCCAACATATTTTATAATATCCTATGGTACAATAATCAGAGAGAATATGTGGATGTGAATGACAATCTAAATGTATATTGTTTACCTTCGCTTATCGTCCATCTCATCCAACACACGTCATTAACGTTCTCCAATTTGATATTTTTCACCAGATTAATTTCAATAGCGTGATATCCACCAGCAAAACCGTCAGTCAATTAATGATAAGAGGAGATAGCACTTTTCATCTACATTGTTGTTCCTTCATTAACCCACTACTATGTTGGAAAAAAGCTTGATAATAATAAGAACAAAGTTCATTTGATTATAATTTTTTTATTCTTCTCTTTCTTTCGATAATAACGCATTCGTTTTGCTGTTGATCTTTGATATAGACTCACATCTTCTGCACTCTTGAAATGAAAGATAAGAAATCCTTCAGTAGTAAATAACACAGTTGTATAACAGCTTACTAAAAATGTTTCAGCAATAAAAAAGAAACAAACTCTATCAAAGGAGACGAACGAGTTTCTTCATATCTCCTGCCTCCGACAAATATTCATTTATTCGTTCTAATTTATTGCCATTCGACCATGACTATTCCTTTATTATTTACACTATGAGTGTGGTTGAAAAGAAGGCAATATTCACGCCCACCTACCATACAGACAATAAACAGTGTTCATTTAGCAGAACTGCTTGAAATTCAATAATACTGCTTCTGTTTTTTTTTAGAACGAAGCACTTTATTCAAATTGTATTTCTTCATACAAACATTGTTACTACGATGTTTTACTGTCATCGTCTGTAAAAGAATCATGAAATTTTTTTCAAAAGTTTCATGCTAGCAGATTCCTCCACTATGTCATTATAATGAATTGCATGATCTAAGCGTAAGTACGGGTGAAATCAAAACTCATATCTATACTCACATCTACCGTCTTTCTTTTGGAGCCAGGCTACCTGATTGAGTATCAACAAGAAACATATTTTGATTATTAAGAATAAAAATCGTCATCAAAGAAAATTTTTGTTTAAATTAAGAAACTTTGTTGTAGAATGGCATTCATTCATTTGTAATTTCAGATTGACGATGCATCTCACATATAATTTGTTCACGTTACGTATAATCAATTAATCAATCAATATGGGTTGTGGTACATCTACAGTATCAAATTCCCTCAGCAATAATCCCCATCCTACAGTAATACCATCATCGTTGCCCTCCACTTTGAGTCAGCAATCGGACTCAAATCATATTCCAAAAGCGGGTCGACAAATCGATACAAATGAAATTATTCAGAATTTTCTTTTGATTTGGCTTGACGAAAACATCGATGAATCCAGCGACGATTATCTCAATTCTATCAAACAGCTACGATCAACTATCAATACCATTGAAATATTTCATGAAACAAATGAGTGCATTGGTTACATGTCACAAGTTCAAAACAAAAAAGTGTTTCTTATTATTTCCGGTGCTTTATGTCAAACCGTTGTGCCATATCTTCATGACATGACACAACTATATTCAATTTATGTCTTTTGTCGAAAACAAGAAAAATATGAAGAATGGGCAAAAGACTGGTCCAAAGTAAAAGGTGTTTTCACCAAAGTTACCTCAGTTTGCAATGTGGTTCGACAATCTGCTCGACAATGTGACCAAGATGATATTAAAATTACTGGTGTATCGTCATCGAACCAAATCGAACCATCATTTATGTATACACAGCTCTTCAAAGAAATTATTCTTGAAATCGATTTCGACGAACAGAAAGAAATTAAGCATCTCGTCGAGTATGCGCGTAAGGAAAATGAGTATGTTGACAACAAACAACAATTGGAAATTATCGACGAATTCGCTGCCGACTATCAAAGAAATGTCGACAAGAACAAAGCCATTTTGTGGTATAGTCGACAATGTTTCGCATACCAGTTAATCAACAAAGCTCTACGCTCTCTAGAAGTGCACACTCTACTCAAAATGGGCTTTTTCATTCGTGATGTTCATCAAAACATCGAGAAACTTTATGAAGAACAATCGAAAATAATCAATAAATCTACTACTACAATTACCGTCTTTCAATGTCAGACTATGAGCAAGTCAGATTTTGACAAGAATATAAAACAAGGTGGACTTGTATCCTTTAATAATTTTCTATCTACAAGTGAGAATCGTGATGTCGTCATTAGTTTTATTTCTTCGACCACAGACGGCAAGGGTAGAATCAGTGTCCTCTTCGTCATAACAATAGATCGAACGATTTCATCAACGACTCCGTTTGCTCACATTGGCGATATTAGTTACTTTCCGAATGACAAAGAGGTTCTGTTTTCAACTCATACAGTTTTTCGCGTCCTAAAAATCGAGGAAATACAGGATCACGGACATACGATACGGCAAGTGAATCTTACACTCATTCGTAACAGTGATGACAAACACCTAAATGCTCTTACTCAACGAATGCGAGACGAGATCACTGGAATAGGATGGCAACAGATGGGTTCATTGTTATGGAAACTGGGTGAAAATGACAAAGCGGAACAGATGTACACAATGTTACTCAAACAGGCTTCTAGTGAAAATGATAGAGCATATTGTTATCACTGCCTTGGAATGATGAAAAGAAGTATAGGACAATACAATGAGGCCAGAGAGTTTTATCAAAAGTCTCTGGAGATCTACGAAAAAATCCTTCGGTCAAATAACACGGATGATTACTCGAAAGCACTTCCATCCCACCAACGATCACTTGAAATTCTAAAAACACCTCTCTGTCCGAATGATCTCAGCTTGGCTGCTTCCTACAACAAGATCGGTGCGGCGTATGCAACCGCGGGCGAATACCCGAAAGCACTTTCATCGTACAAACGATCACTTGAAACCTTGAAAACAGCTCTCCCTCCTAATCATCCTGAATTGGCTTATTCCTACAACAACACTGGTAATATGTATTATAACATGGGAGAGTATTCGAAAGCACTTTCGTTGTACGAACGGTCATTTGAAATCCAAAAAATAGCACTCCCTTCGAATCATCCAGACTTGGCTACTTCCTACAACAACATCGGTGCGGTGTATGAAAACATGGGCCAATACTCAATGGCACTTTCATTGTACGAACGATCATTAGAAATCCGTAAAATAGCTCTTCCACCGAATGACCCTGGCTTGGCTGCTTCCTACAACAACATCGGCTCGGGGTCTTCTAACATGGGCGAGTACTCGAAAGCACTTTCGTTGTACGAACGATCACTAGAAATTCGTAAAATAGTTCTCCCACCGAATCATCTCGACTTGGCTGCTTCCTACGACAACATGGGTTTAGTTTATGATAACATGGGAGAGTATTCGAAAGCACTTTCGTCGTACGAACGATCACTTGAAATAAAAAAAATAGTTCTTCCTGCAAATCATCCCGGGCTCGCTACTTCATATAACAACATTGGTAATGCGTATAAAAACAGGAACGATTACTCAAAAGCACTGTTATGGCACGAACAATCACTTAAAATCCGAAAAATAGCTCTCCCTCCGAATCATCCCGACCTCGCTGCTTCCTACAACAATATCGGTTCAGTGTATAGAAATATGGGTGCATACTCAAAAGCAATTTCATGTTATGAGAAGGATCTAGAGATTAGTGAGATAGCTCTCTTTCCGAATCATCCTGAGTTCGCTACTTCGTACAACAACATCGGTAATCTGTATTACGACATGCGCAAGTACTCGAAAGCACTCTCATACTACGAAAAAGCCCAAAAAATTTGGCAAAAATCGCTGCCTTCAAATCATCCGTATATTGCACGGGTGAAAAAAAGCATTGACACTGTAAAAGAGAAGTTGTAATCTCTATTTTATTTGACAGTAAATTTGCCCTTTCTATTTTATCTTATTTGGCTCGCCAGATGCTTACTTGTAGTACAAAGATCGCCCGCACACGTGCGATCAGAGCATTCTCCCTATTATGTTGGGTTGTGTCGTGGGCATAGCCGGCAATGGTAAGCATACGCACATATATGTATGTATGACTAGTATATTCATGATCATTAACATCTCAGTAGAGAAACGATGACGAGAATGCATCCTTCACTCACAGATACATAGATATATATTTAGAATGCTCCCATCAACACACCTGTACGCATACCAACAGAAGGTTGGACTTCTCGTCGGGGAGGAGGGGGGAAGGGGCTAATTTGTTTGAACCACCCCACAAACTAATTCAATGTGAAATGATTGTTCTTCCTTAAAGAAAAAATAACAAGTGGAAGAAGAAACGTAGGATACACTTATGCATACGATGGACAACGCTACGAAAAGCAACTCAGTGACAGAAAATGGCTGGTTGTGAGTGTAGATGACGGAACCTATCTGCTTTAAACCAACACGCACACATGCATCTCACACCTCCACATCACTATCAACACCTACACCGTACACTCATGCCAACACCCCATTCACATTCACACCCACAACACATCCGTATAACTACATCATTACCATATAATTTTTTCTAAATAATTCTCGAGCTCACACGATTTATCATTAACAGCAAGTTCGTAAAGATATGTTCTTCTTATGGAAGGACTTTTGTTCCATTACCAACTAGTCGGTTCTTCTGTGTGAACGCATACTTATGTTTGAAAAAGAACTCGAACGTGAGTATTGTTCATTGTACAATGGCAAAAGGGAGAAAACTGACGTCATGCCACTTTATATAATTAATTGAAAAGTCCTTTCGTAATTACAAGAATATTTATAAAAATTGTTAAAATATTTGAGTTTTCATGAAGCTATTTCAATCGATCGTTTGTACCATATGACACTATACAAATCGGTGAGAAATTTCAGAAACTACTAAGACGAATTACCATCCCATCTACCACGAGCGGGAGGATGGGGAGTGACCCCACCCCTCCCCCCAATCTTTAGAAATTTTGTGTTTTTTGCTCAACGTATTTCAAAAAGTTTCAAAAAATTTAAGAAGATATTTCGGAAAATTTTAAAAAACCGTTTAAAAATTATCAAAAATTCTTCAAAAATCTTTGAAAATCCTTCAAGAATTTCCAAAAATCTTCAAATATTTTCAAAGATCTCTAAAAACTTTCAATAAATCTGTAATCTTCTTTTTTCAAAATTTCAATAATTTATAGAAGTTTTCGAAAAAATTTTTGACTCTCCCCAATCTTTAACATCTCGCGGCAGCTCTGATTACCATCTACATGAATTTTATACGCATTAATTCCCTAAACATATAGATCTATAGTAATGTGAAGAAAAATACAAGATCTTATAATATTAGAAATTTCAGTATTTAAACAAAACTTTCTGTGAGTCCTAGACAATCATGGAAATTTTTACAACTTCTCTACGTCCAAGATATACCATACATATAAATCTCTCAGAATGGAAAATCCTGCCCATGAAAAATCGTGAGAATCTTTAGAAACTACGAAACGTCACCAGGAATATACAGAATTTTTTGAAAAGTCTTATAGTTGTCGATTGTATGATTTTTCTTCTGCTAATAGTTGCCTAGCAATTTTGTTCGTTGATGTTTGTAATACTAAAAACTAACGAGAAAATTCGTGTTAGTTAAGTAAGGATTAGTGAAATTCGGTGAAAATTGTTTTTCAAACATGAACAATTAGAGAATTTACTGAAAAGTTTGTTTGTGATATTTGTCTAAGTTTCAGAAATTTTTACTTATGTCCGTCTTTTCAGAAAAGCTCCTCATTCACTATTTGATAGTTTCTGACATTAGTTTATTTATGAGGAATATTTCTTGTTGTTAGAGATCAGAGCAAGGCTGAAAAGTTATAAAAACAATATATATATATATATTGTTTTTATAATTGATTTTTTATGTCAAGATTATTTTGAAACTAAACAAACTAATTAAAAATTTTATTCAGCACTCGACTATGGTGTCGATGTGGATCTTCTTATCAACAGAATCTAGCTCATACCCTTTTTAACTGTCTAAAACAAGATGCGAACGTGAGGAAAAATGATAGAAGAAAAATATTGTAAACTTTAGTATGCTAGAATAAAACTCAAATCAACTTTAAAAAAACCAGGTATTAGCCAACAAGAAAGTGTTTCTATGAGTCTTGTAAATTTTATTGTGATATATACCAATTATACCTCAACTTCTTTTCGAAAACTTCGTACAAAGTCAAAGAACAACATAGCAAAGAAAAAAGAATAAATTTTTGTTACCTATTTTAAATAGAGGGTGGATGTGGATGTAGATATGAACGAACAGAAGACAAAGATATACAGCCACATCCATCCTCACAAATTTGAAATGGACATTTGTTCCATTTTAAAAAAAGGTGGTATAAATTGTAAACGATAATGAACTATTAACATGAGTTTTTATGCATGCGTGAAAGAAATTTTGTTAGTTTCATTGGAAAAAAATTCAAGGTTTTAAATAATTGTGAAATAGAAAGTTTCAATAATTGCGGTAATAAGGAATATTACATTTTTGTTCAATTATATTATTCTTTTTCAGCTAGCCACTCTTCCATAGTTTTAACTGATCGTTCAATTTCGCTAATAGTGACAACAATATCGACTGAATATTTTTTTCTAATATCTGTTTTTGAAAATCAAGTGCACATCGATAATTTTTCAATGCTAAATCATATTTTTTCGTATATACTTGATATTTAAAAGCGATTAATTTATACATATGAACTATATAATTCAACTTTCCATTTCGTTGTTTATTCAATTCCATTTCTAAACGTTTTCTTCTAAAGTCTATCATTTTTTCATAATCTGTCTTTGTTAAGTAAACTGATTCAATATCGGATTCAGCATACTCTATTAATCGATCATCAATTAGTAAGAGCTTTGTTCGTATTTCCAAACATTTTTCATAGTTTTTAAGCTCTTCTTCACTATTCTTTAATTTGCAACCATAAATCTCAGCAATTTTTGAATAAATTACTGCACTGTGAAGCGTATCATCAAGGTATTGAGTTCCAATCAATTTTTGAAGATAATTAACTTCGGAAGTATGATTACCATCTTTTTTGGCGTGAACTTGAGCAATCTCAAAATGAATGCCAAACACATTAGAATAATCACTATTGGATGATTTTAATTCTTCATCTAGAGCTTGCTGATAATAGATTAAAGCTTGATCAAAATTTGAATTATAGAAAGTTTCATTTCCAAGTTCTCGTAGACTTTTGACTGATGGTTCTAATATGTCTTTTACGAATTGAATTCGTTCTTCAAGATTTTGTATATCAAAATGATCTGGTGGTAAAGTTTTCTTAAAAATTTCAAGCTTTAAATTTGAATATTTGATCATTAAATCATGTTTTTCTATTGCTTCATATATATCTGTAATATTCGAATAAGATTTAACAATTAATGCATGATACCATGGTAGTAATTTCTTTCAAATATCTAAAGCTTTCTTGTAGTTTTCCAATGCTAGATCCAATTTGTTCATTGTAAAAAATATGCTACCAATATCATCGTAGATATAGGCTGAACCTTTTGGCTTGAGGGCCTAAAATAATCAAATAGCGTCATTAAGAATCTTGAAGATGTTGAGTTATGCATGACAAGAGCACCACCTAAAATGTTCATCAATCAATCACTAAAAAACTGACAGCCTCATTCTATTGATAAAAATATAAATGATAGGTGACAATCTGCGAATAAAATGGAAAATAGAAAAACTCTTGTGTACTACACAATTTGAAGAGTTCTTTTCTTTGACTATAGAAAGCGTGAATCAGAGGGCTGATTATTTCTAGCATGTTCCATCAACATTTTATTTCAAATTCGATCGAATTTGAATATAAGCATTCCTTTTTAAAGCTCAAGAACTTATAGTCTTGTAAAATTTTGGTAATATTAATTGCTATTACGTCTGAAATACATTTTAACTTATATTAGATGTGCGTGTGCGCATTGTCGGGTGTGGGGTGTGGGTGCGGTGCGTTGTCTAACCGATGATATCCACCAACCGACACCTACACCCACGCCCACTCGCATCCACACACACCGACATACACACCCACCCACACCCACACCCCACACACACCCCACACTCACACACACCCACACCCACCTCACACACCCACACCCACCTCACACACCCACACCCACCTCACACACCCACATCCACACGCTCACACCCTCGAATCTTCCCTCTTTTTATTTTCTGTTTGAAATAAATATTTAATAAAATATTATTTACAGCAGTTGTCTCTTTCTTTTCTTATCTATTTTCTACTGCTATACCTCCTGTATTTATGTCTATCTTATAACAGCTCGTTTACTTTCGTTTGCCTCATATAAATTTCTAATAATGAAAGTTTTATTTTCTACTACTACTACTACATAAATATAGATTTTGCCAATTGTTTACTCGAATTTTATTAATAGAAAAAAGAAAACAAATTCACTGCATATTGGATTTATCTCTATCATCAAGTATTTGATATAAATCGTCAATTTCTTTCGGACACATATTCGACAAAACTTCGCAACCTTGTTCCGTTAACAATATATCATCTTCTAATCGTGCTGCAAAACCACGATATATCGATGGAACATCTTTACAAGTCAAAGGAATATAAAGACCTAAAGAAATGATAAATAAATATAGCATCCTGATCACAAAATATAAGACTAACGTATTTTTCTTGTTTTTTCCTACAATATCAAGCATTCAATTCAAATTCAAGCAGTAGTTTAAATAGCCTTTTAACATGCTCTATCCAATGCATGCATAACAAAATTTCATGGATGAATGATGGGAGAAAGTTTTCAGATTCCTGAAGACTCCTTGAAAATGCTGAAGTTTTAAATCACCCTTTCGAAAAAGAACATCTAGATAAAACAGCAACTCATTTTAATAAGGATTTCGTGGTTTTAAAGATGATACACTTAAAAACTAATTTTCACTGAATCCTCTGAGACTTGAAAATTACGTTATTTGATTTTTTTTTTAGAATCTTCGTTATGCAAATGCATTGGATAGAGAACTTTATTCATTATTCAAAGCACTATTTAAGTTTAAGTTCAATGCTTGATATCGTAGAAAAAAAATAATTAACAATACGTTGGTCTTATATTTTTGACCTGTACAGTACATTTAAACACAAAAACAAAATTTATTTTGATCACCTACCAGGTTCGATAGTTATAACATTACCAGGTCGAAGCTGTTGTTTAGCTGTAGATAATTCACAATCATGTACATCAAGACCTAAAAATTCAAAGAAAAAAATTAGAATTAATCTAAATAAAAACTTGATATGTACCAAGATGATGACTAGTCCCTGTTGGACATAAGATATGAATAATATTTTTAGCGTAATTCTCATCGATTGTTCGTGAAAGAATATTTTCTTCACGTAAATATTTTATCATATATTGATCAGCTAATGCATTCAATTTTTCTCTTGATATTATTGTATCAGCAGAATCTATATATTGAATTAAATCTTTGTGTACAGTTAATAATATTTCATAAAGTTGTCGTTGTGCAGATGAAAATCGACCTTGGACAAAAAAATTCTTAAATCATTCATTAAAATTTTTATTACCATTTATAGGCCATAGACGTGTCATATCACTACTATATTGTTTAAATAGACAACCTCCATCTAACATAATTAAACCATCTTTATTTATTGATTGATTATTTTTTTGATAATGAATAGTATTTGCTCTAGATAAATAATTGATATAAGATAAAAATAATATTTAAAATTTACCTTCCATTAGCAGCAACAACAGGATAAAATGCCATTGAAAGATCGCCAAGTTTTTCACATTCATATTGAAATTGAGCTTTAACTAAATATTCATTTTCAATATCTTTTTTACAATTTTTCATTGTATTGATAAATGCTATTGATGTTAATTGACATACTCGACGTATAAGATTTTGTTCAGCAAATGATTTTATTGATCGTAATGAATGAAGAAAACTAGTTAGTTGATTACAAACAATTGATGATGAAAATCTTTTTAGAAATGGTACTACATTTTTTTTATTTATAGTTTTATCATTAATAAATTGTGAATTATAAAATAGAATAGATGATGATGGAAGTTTTAATGTTATTAATTGATCAATTGGATAAACTTTATCAATACCAAATATTTGACAAATTTTTTCTCCATCAGTTATTGTTGGTCCAAACCATCGTTCATATTCATCAGTTGAATGCATTGTACATCGAGATAAAAATAAATTAGTAGAAAATGTTTGATCATTACCATTAATTAGTAATATAGCATCTGGTTGCATACAACCAGTTAAATAATAAAAATCTGATTGTTGTTTAAATGGAAAATAAGCAACATCAGGACCCATATATAGACGTGATGATGCTGGAAGACAAATGGTAAAATTTTTCGATGATTGTTTTTGTTCAGTTTTCATATAATGTCGAATAAGATTAACAAGAGAATGACGTCGTTGACGAAATTCATTTAAGGATATACCTGTCGAAGATATATCATAATGATCAATATATATGTGATGAAAACGAATGAATGAGTTCATAATGGATTTATTTCGAATGGCAAACATGTTTTTTTTTATTTTTCTACATAAACAAAAAAACATAAACATAAATATAGTCTGCAAAGTAAATAATTAATTAGAATCTAAAATGGTTTGTCCTCAGAGGCTAAGTTATGACCTTTTTTTACTGAGTTTTCGACCCATTTTGAGATATATTTACTGGAAAATCAAATAATAGAATTCTGAATGAAAAATCCAGCCTATAGTTTTGAAACATATTTTGTTCTCTTCTTATATTGTTTACGAAAAACTTCTTTATTCAGACGTTTCGATAATCATCGGGCTATATTCTTCAATGTAGAAGAACTTACAGCAATAACAACAAACACAACTATACATAACTCTTTTTCTTTTCTTTCTAATACTGGTACTGGACAAGAAATGACAAATATTTGTCATCTTCTTTTTCGGTACCAGTATTAGAAAGAAAAGAAAAAGAACTATGTTTAGTGGTGCTTGCTTGTAGTTATTGTTGTAAGTACTACACTGAAGAAAGTAGTCCGATGATTACCGAAATTTCTTGATAAAAAAGCTTATCGTAAATTGTACAGAAAGAGTATAAAGTCTATTCGAAACTTATAATGACCTTCCTAAATTTAGCCTACACTTACATTTAATGATCTTTAGAATATTTTGAATGTTTCAGCTAAAACTTTCAGGATATTCATTGATTTATTAGATCTATCTGTGGGCGAAATTGCCGATCAAAATTCTGTTATTTGATTTTGCAATAAATACCTAAACTTGTATTGCAAATTGAGCAAAAGGCGAGTAACAGTTCTCTTGTTAGTCAGTGTACAAGGTACGAAGAGGGTTTAGTGTACACATCTCTAGTATAACATATATTTTGATGACCTATATATTTTACTTTACTAATGAAGAAGAAGAATATTCACTGTACATGTATCAGATGTCTATATATATATTCTATGCTATAATATCAGCTTTTCACATAGTATCATTACAAAAATATATGTAACGTTAAAATTAATTAGAACAATTTTCAGTTACTTTTTGAAATATTTTTTTAATGTTTAACTAATAGTTTTATATGGAAACATATATAACTGACACCCTTTGATTGAGCTCATATTTCCAAATCTCATAACATTTATTACATTTTTAAAAGTTTCAACTCCAACGAATTAGTTTTTCTTAAGTTATCGGAAACCGATAAAAATGGGCTATTTTCATATAGTATTGCTTTCGAGTTTGATCGATCAATTCTGACAATTGTTTGAAGTATTTTTTCAAAGTATTTGTAAAAAAAATTAAATTTTGATTAAGAAAGAACAGCAACAGTTACCAATCAATTCATGAAATCAATTTCAGATTTATTTTGTTTTTCATAAAAATCATTCGTATGTCTTTATTATTTCTCTATGTTAGTAACATAAGAGAAAAAGACATCGTACAATTTTTATTTATTCATCATGGCATAAACAACTAACAAAAATCCAAAATTGATAATGCAAAAAAAAGTAAAAAGTATTCATAGTGCATGATTGATCAAATCAACGCATTATATTTTCTATCCATATTGATTTCAAAAGAAATTAAGAAAATATTTTAGCTTCTATGATATTTGTATTTCTTATTTATGGCAAGCTGAAATTCTAGCATAGATTCTATCGACACACCTATTGCATGTACTATCAATATCAGTCTTTCACAGTACGAGAAAAATATTACTTGTAAGTATGAAGACTTAATTTACACATATTAGCCTTCACATTCAACGATGGTTTCATGATTTCAACATGTATTTTCTGTGGATTCTTATACCGAAAACTAATTCATAAGAAGCTAAAGAAAAAACTCTATTACATCATTATATTACTTCTGTGAAAATAATTGTGATTAACTTTCATTGAATAAATATCATGATGGATTTGTCAAGTTCGATGATACAATATCGTGCTTCGATGAAAACTGATCAATGTATTTCTATTTTTTCCCTACAATACTAAACATAGAATTCAAATCTAAATAGTGGTTTAACAATAACCAATGAAGCTCACTATAGAATAACACGATAGTTTTTAGGTTTTAGAAAACTGTTTGAAATTTTGTTTTTAGGCGCATCATCTTACGGAGCACAACATTTTGAAGTTGAATCTTTGAGAAAATTTCATGTCATAGTTTATTTCTCAAATTTTAATATGAAATATATTCTTCAAAAACCGTCATTGATTATTCAAGCCATTATTTCGATTTGATTTAAATGCTTAGTGTCGTAAAAAAACACGATCAAGAATAAGCTCAGGAGCGCTCTAAGGTTACCAAGACTGGAAAGAGGATCATTCATTGATTTTTTCAGGAATAGGTGAACCAAAAAACAAAATAAAATGCTCGAACATTTTTGTCGATGTACATTCAATAGTTTGAGTAATCACGTTTTGAGTACACAAAAAGATGTAGTAGGAGAACTTTTTATTGATAATGAGTGTTTGAAACATTCAAATACATCATTATATTAAGTAGGACTAGATTACAAACAAAATTAGTCAATGTAATCATGAAGAATTGTTTAAAACTTCTCAGTCATCTGTGCTAATCTTTTCTTATTAATGAAACAAGAACTAATAATTATTTAGAGAATCTTTTATTCTCTTTTGAAATATTTTATTTATTATTACAAAAATAAGTAAATCTTTTTGTTTAGCATTTGCAAAATTTGTTCAAGATTAGAAACAAGAAATAGACAACCTAAGACTAGAATAAACATCAACAATATTTGTTTCTTTGTTTTGTTTAATCGAGTTCTTCAATAGTTGGACCATGATCATTTGATTTCGATGAATTATGATCTGATGACATATCATTTTCATTTCCTAGAATAGAAAAAAAAAACAAATACATTAAAAATGAATTTCTATAAATAAATCAATATTAAATTATTTACCATAAATTTTAGTTATGATTGATGAACAAATATTTTCAATTTCTTTCAATTTATGTTCAAATTCATCTTTTTCAGCTAATTGATTTAATTCTATCCATTTTAATGTTGATTCAATTGTTTCATGTATTTTTGTTTTTTCATTAATTGAAAGTTTTGATGAAACTTTATCATCATTAATACTTGCTTTCATATTAAAACAATATGATTCAAGTGAATTTCTTGCTTTTATACGTTCACGTTGTAATTCATCTTCTTTTTCATATTTTTTAGCATTTTGAATCATTTCTTTAATTTCTTCTGGTGATAATTGACCTTGATTATTTTGTATTTTTATATTTTTTTCTTTACCAGTTGATTTTTCAACAGCAGTAACATTTAATATTCCATTCGTATCAACATCAAATGTAACTTCAATTTGTGGTACACCACGTGGTGCAGGTGGAATACCACTTAATTGAAAATTTCCAAGTAGATGATTATCTTTTGTCATTGCACGTTCACCTTGAAAAACTTTTATATCAACACCTGATTGATTATCTGAATATGTTGTAAATGTTTGTGTTTGTCTTGTTGGAATATTTGTACCACGTTTAATTTGTGTTGTCATAACACCACCAGCTGTTTCAATACCCTATAAAACAAACATGAAATTAATAAACAAATTGTTTGGTTTATTTTATTTGTTTTCTTACCAATGAAAGTGGTGTAACATCAAGTAGAAGAACATTTTTAACTTCTTCTGATGTATCACCAGTTAAAATAGCTGCTTGAACAGCTGCACCATACGCTACAGCTTCATCAGGATTAATTGATTTATTTAATTCTTTACCATGAAAAAAATCTTGAAGTAATTTTTGTACTTTTGGAATACGTGTTGAACCACCAACAAGTATAATTTCATCAATATTTGATTTATCCATTTTAGCATCACGTAAAGCTTTTTCAACTGGTTCAAGTGTTGAACGAAATAGATCAGTACATAATTCTTCGAAACGAGCACGTGTTATTGTTGAATAAAAATCAATACCTTCATGAAGTGAATCAATTTCAATTGATGTTTGAGATAATGATGATAATGTACGCTAATAAGAAAAAAAAACGATGAAAGGATAATTCATAGAAAATATTCTAATATAAAATAAATTTCAACTTACTTTAGCTCGTTCACATGCTGTATGCAAACGACGAATAGCTCGTTTATTTTGTGATATGTCTTTATTTGTTTTTCTTTTAAATTCTTGTATAAAATGTGTAACCATACGATTATCAAAATCTTCACCACCTAAATGTGTATCACCAGATGTTGATTTAACTTCAAAAACACCATTATCAAGTACGAGTATCGATACATCAAATGTACCACCACCCAAATCAAATATCAAAACATTTTTTTCACCAGAATTCTTTTTATCTAAACCATAAGCAATAGCTGCTGCTGTTGGTTCGTTAATAATACGTAATATATCAAGACCAGCAATAATACCAGCATCTTTTGTTGCTTGTCGTTGTGAATCATTAAAATAAGCTGGAACAGTAACAACAGCTTTAGAAATGGTTTTACCAAGAAAAGCTTCAGCTGTTTCTTTCATTTTTGTTAAAACCATTGATGAAATTTCTTCTGGTGTAAATAATTTTGTTTCATTTTTATATTCAACTTGAATTTTTGGTTTTCCATTATGATTAATTACTTTAAATGGCCAATGTTTCATATCTGACTGTACAGTTACATCATCAAATTTACGACCAATTAATCGTTTAGCATCAAATATTGTATTAGAAGGATTCATAGCTATTTGATTTTTAGCTGCATCACCAATTAAACGTTCACTATCATTAAATGCAACATATGATGGTGTTGTTCGATTTCCTTGATCATTAGCAATAATTTCAACTTTACCATATTGAAATATACCAACACACTACAAAATTAATAATGTTTAATAGATCAAATTTTTAATGAATTATAAATAACTTACTGAATATGTTGTACCCAAATCAATACCAATAGCACGAGCCATCTGTGTTTAGTAAAATAAAAACTTTCAATGGATTGACAATATTGATTAGGTTTCGTTAGCATGCTTTATATATTATAAAAATGGATTTATTCTAGTATAATTGAGAAAACTGGAGTATTAACGAGAAGAAACTAGAAGGTTTGTGAATAAGAAAACGGAAATGATGAATGTATGATGAATGATGAACTAAAGTATGATAGTAAGTTACGAAAGTTTGTGTTTTCGATTTGCAACACCGAAAACATACGTTTGTGATTCGTCGATGACATATGCGAATAATGTATTCATATTAAATGCGACATCTTTTAAAATGAAATGTTAATGTTACAAAATACGAAAAGTTTACTGTACAGAATTTTCATTTTTTTCGAATTTTATATAATTTAGAAGACAAATAAGAGTTTTAGTTAATATTAAGAGTACATTTAATTCATTTAAAGCCAAACAAAAAATTGTTGATGAAAAAGAGCCAAGTATAGGTACTGTGAGTTTATTTGCGCTGAAACTCAAGAGAACGCTTTTTAAATACTGATAACTATCAACATTGAAATTGATCTCTCCCATCAATTCGAATTCATTCCTATAATTTGTCTTTGTTTGTATGAAGTTTTTCATTGTAAAGTTTTCTTCGTAGTTTTTGTTTAACTGCCAGATAAATACAATTCAGTAATAACATAAATCTATTGATGCTTTCATCACTACTCATACGTTTGTTTCTTTTTGGATCGACGCAGTGGAATCACAAGTCATGACTACGCTCAAGTTTTTTCTAAATTCACAATTCTTATACCTGCCACCTTTGATAACTAATAATAACATTTTCGTAATCAAACCGACTTAAACAATATTTTTAATAAAATATCGAGTTTTGTATAAGTAAATATTGAATCATACATCAGCATTAACTTGAACTAGTAGTCTTTCATTACAAATGTAGATGAATCACATGAAAAATCTAAGCCAGATTAACTAGAATCTACCTAAATTCTTCTTTTCCTTCAGCGACTAAGATTACATGCCTATTAAACATTTTCGAAAGTGAACAAACTCAAAATGCAACATCGTTTTTTTTTGTGTGAACACTTCTATTTTTTCAAGAAAGTAGATGAGAAACTCTTCTTTCGAAGATTACATGGTTTCTTTGAACTTAAATTATGAGTTTATTTTTCTCATTTGCATCACTGTTATATGCTGTAAAATATGAAATAGAAAAACGAAGCACTTCAAGTATTTCATATAGACACTACACAAAAATTAGTCTTCTTTCGTTTTAAACTTTTCGATAAGAATTTTGTACGAACATTTTTAATTTCTTTAACAAAGTTCCCATGCGAATACTTTACTTTCGTGTTACTATTCTTATTTTTAATTGTTAAATTGAAAGTCTTTATCTTTAAAATATCGATTATTGTTATTATTATTATTATTATTATTCTCATTTACGAAAAAAGTCATGAACACAACATATCAAAAAATTCAACACAAGACAATGACAAAAATTAATAGTATATATTTGTATTTTAATTATTAATCCTTTGGAGGATAATCTTTTTCAAATGGTGAAAGTACATTTCGAATGGCTTCATTATGAAGACAACCATTAATAAATTCTTCTTTTGATAATGAATGATTTTGATCAAGATCAAGTGCATGAAATATATCATGTGCAACATTTTCCGGTGAATATATTTTCATTTTATTTCCTGCTATTGTAAAAAGTTTTTTTAATAATTCAATCATTTCATTTGGTTCAATTGTTTGTGAATGATCTTTATCAAAGAATGAAAATGTATATTGTAATTTATCTAATGGTTCACCATTTGATGTTAATGCATAAGCAATAAGAAATTCTTTAAAATCAATTCGATGATTTCCTAAATATTTCAAAAGACAAAAAAAAAAAAACATAACGAATTTTTCTTAGATGAAAACTTAAATTGAATATACAACAAACCATTACAATCAAATGCTTCAAAAACATTTTCAGCAATAGATTCAACATTTTTTGTCTTTGAATTTTCTAATTGTTTATAAAATTTAATAAATTGATTTTTATTTAATTGACCATTGGGACATACAACTAAGAATTCTCGATACCAACCTTGAATAACATGCGGTGTTAAATTTGTTTGTTTCATTAAATAACGATAATCATTTAATGATAAATCTTTTTGTAATTGATGTTGTTGTTGATTACCCATAGTTCTCAATAATTCTATTTTGTTCAGTATTATTTCAATAAATGAAGAACACTACTAATCATTCCCACCTTTTTATTTCTCTTTCTCTTCTAAGAGCGTTCTCTGCTTAATGTCTAACTCGTGATGAACGCAATGAAATGCAGCGTATATGAGAATCAGGATAGGATAAAAGAGCGTGGGAAAAAAGAGTGTATGAAAGAAAATACGCTTTATTGAACAAGATCATCTTGATGACAGCAAAGAAAGTATTTTCTTAGTTTTTTTTAAATATTTTCAAGATTAAATAAAAATAGCTAAAGAAAGGAAAAAATAATTCTTTTCTTTTCTTTTTTATCTTTCTTCTATTTTAATAAAATTTGACCATGGCTGATTTTCTCTGACACTATTCCAAATAAATATTGATCTATAATATATTACCTATTCCAATCCTATTGCTAGTAGATAAGGTTTCATTTTCATAATGAGAAAACTTTCAGTACAAAAGTTTGTAGATTAAAAATAGAGAACGAACAAATTATTTGTTGATTAACTAGCTGACAATATTTATAAACAATAAAACATTTGACACTATATCTCGATAAACTTAAATTTATTACTAGAGATTCTGCTTGTAAAATAACGTTAGATTAGAACTATTTTTTTCATTCAACCTTACAACAATCATATTTTGTTTATTTCAGAATAATATGTTCATACAAAATAAAATTAATAAATTTTATTGAACAGATGTATTTCTATCATAAACACATATTACTAGACTAAGCAAAGTATTATCATCAATCGTATGTTTGAAATATAACAAAAAAAAAAAGATTCATAGTTGTTTATCATGAATGAAATTAAATAAATATATATATGTTCAATAAAATATTTGAATTTGAGTATTTATTATAAATAATCATATAATGTGTCCTTGTAAAACAATAACCTGATCATTAAACTATCAATTCATTATAAATATAATCTGTCAATCTTTATTATGAGTAGAAACTTGACAGACAGACAGACAGACAGGGTCAACATTCAATCATCTGATAGCTAAAATATCCTTGATGATTGCTCGTGTCATTTTCTTGTTCTTTCAATTTTTTTTTCCTTTTTCTTCATTTGAATACGTATATGTTTTACCTTTCTTAGATAGGAAGATGCACACTAATTAATTAATATTATCTAAATAAACATATGTTTTTATTTATTTTTTACGTTCATGGTTCTTTTTTTTACTATCAAGGTTATGAATATTTTTGCTTTAGTCTGGACGTATTTCATTTTTCAATAACTTTGTTCGGCCTTTTCAACAAAGAGGAATCATTCAGCCGTATTGAGAGTAATAGTTATGCTTTTTCTGATCAAATTATATGATGTTTCATATACGAATAACAACAAATTATCAAGGATATGTAATATATTACACGCTTGTACATAAAATAAAAGAAAGTAGAAATATCAGGTGAATATTATTAGTTGTAATCTCTTGCTAACAAACGTTAAGCAAACAAGAGAGATACGGATTCATATTTAATTATCATATGGGAAGCAACAACGGTAAACAAGATGGTAAAAAAGAAAATTATAAGAGAAGATCAAGTTTTAGAAGAATATTACATAAATCATCACGTGAATTAAAAAATTCATCACGACCAGTAAGTTATGCAGGAATAAATCAATATTGTGAAGAACAACGAACTTCAACACGACCAATATCAATGATTAATGTTATTCCATTCAATAGATTAGAAATAAGTAAGAATAATTATTTAATTTATAGTATTAGAAAATTAATATTAGTATAATGATATTTCTTTAAGAAACATCTATTAATAATATCGATATTATTTCTCAAGAACCAATATCTGATATGAATCCGATATTACAATATTCTTCTCAAATAATAACAATAAGTAAGTTATAACAAATATTTTTTTTTTTTAATTATTTTCATTGATATAATTTTAGATGAATCTCCGTTGCAAACTACAAGTATTTATGAGGAAGATATCGAGCTAACTATTACCAACAAGTAGGTAAGGTTCATAATTTTATATAAATATTTATATTTATTTTATAATTTGATTAGATTAGATGAAAATAATTGGAAATTTTATATACCATTAACACTTGAAAAAATTCGTTCAATAACAATATTAAAAGATTTAATATATGAACGTATGATGAATACAGAATTCATTCATATATTAAATCGTTTAATTCCATTAGATAAAATTGAGGAAAATGAAGGATTTCTCAATTGGTTTTTTCATGAAATAGAATATCATATGCATTCATATGATGATGATGATGATGATAATACAACATATTATCATAAACCATTATTATTACGTTCAATAGAACAAGATCGTTTTGATTGTACAAAATATTTACTTGAAAATCAATTATTACTAAGTAAATTAGATATAAATAATATAAATGATCAAGGTCGTCATTGTCTTTTAATGCTTGCACATAAAAATGGTCCCGTTGATTTAATAAAATATCTTTTAACACGTCATTTATCATGTTTAGATACAAATAAAATTGATTTAAATAATTATAGTTCATTACATCATGCATGTCGTCATTTTAATTTATCTCTATGTGAAATAATTTTACCATATACAAATAAATATATATTACAAATGGAAAATTCTGAATTACATACACCTCTTGATTATTGGCTTGAATGTTTATGTTCATTAAAAAAATTAAAACCAACATATATACAACATTATATAGATAATTTACGTCTTGATTATTTATTAAATAATAAAGATTTTATTTTAAATATTTATTTTCTTCAAA